GGGGGGGGGATTGCATTTGGACCAGTGCCCTCGTCATGGTACTGCTCTGCACCTGCATCATTGATCCTCCGATCGATCGGTCGATCGATCAGTCGATCGATCAGTCAGTGCAGATGGACGTGTTTGTCCTCCGCTGAGTGGCTGGATGTAAAGGTGAGGAACTCGAACCAAACAAGTCAGAGCTGCTGAGTCATGACTCGGTGTCTGGTTCAACAGGTTCCTGGTACTTTATGTCTCCTCCATCATCACAGATGACGTCAGAGTCATTTAACACCAGAGGTAAAAAAATCAATAAATAAAAATAAAAAATACCAATGATTATTGATCAACCAGAGTGGACTGGATTCTTCTCCTTCTCCGAGGTTTTATTGGAGCTGCTGTTCTTTCGGGTCACACTACTGCCACCTACTGGATTTATTTTCCACTGGGTTTGGTACTAACGGGTGGAGGGTTGATCCAGTGCGGGTTCCAATCCCATGACCGGTGGTGCCTCAGACAGATAGGCCGGGTCAGAACCCAGTATCCCATCAGCCCCAGCTGCTGAGCAAAGGTCCACTGTTGTACTGAACTGTGATCCACTAAACCAGTTTCATCCAGTTCACGACGTGTTGTCAAGAAGTGTGTGTGTGTGTGTGTGTGTGTAAGATTGCTTTGCTGTGTGAAAGCAGATATCTGGATGGTTCCTGTTTGTGCTGCCTGTATTACATAGAAGTGTGTAGGAAAGGAGGGAGAGAGGGAGGGAGAGAGAGAGGGAGGGGGTCTCCCCCCCTGCTCTCTCTCTCTCTCTCGCTCTCTCTCTCCCTCTCCCTTTTTTATGTCTTGATTTTATTTGACTGAAGTCCACTTCCGTTCTTCAGTCCCTGTTCATGGCTCAGAGAGTCACAGGGTTGATGACCATGAGCCAGAACAAATACCCCCAATACATCAGGGTTGCAGGTTTGAAACCCAGCCGTGGCAGGACTGACATCTATAGAACTACACTGATAACATGGCGGGTCAGAGACCAACTGGTTAATGAACCGGGTTAATAATGAACACCTTTGGTTATTGTTACTACGGTAAAGACAAAAGTTGTTTCAAGTGGTGGAAAGATGGGTGGTTACTCTCGCCTTACTGCAAGGAGGTCGCTGGTTCAATCCCTGTTTTTTTTTTCTTCTTTTGTCCATGTGTGTGTCTAAACTGACCGTAGGTGTAAATGACTTTGAATTTCCGATTACAATCTTGGCTTCCAACGATTACAAAAAACCAAGATGGAATACAAATAAAAGGATTACTGCGCCTTTCGTCACCTGTTCACGTGTTGTCCTCAGTCTGTGACGTAAATGCAGAAGTAGACAGTATAGAATGTCGCTACACATCGTGTTTTTCCAGTTTTCCCGGTGTTGGAGCTTTAATTTCTCAAAGGGAACCCTCGAGGGGTTAATAAAGTTTTATTTATTTATCCATCCATCTACAGTGGTGTGCTCTGTACCGCCCCCTAGGACACAAACACTTTCACCCTGTCACCTGTCTGAGCTCAGCTCTAACCACTCGCTCGTTTGACCATAGGAAATAAAATAAAATAAAAGTCGTCATAATAATAATGTTTACTTAATAAACATATTTTTTTCGTGACCTCACTTCCTGCCTCTGGTTCTCCTCCTCCTCCTCCTCCTCCTCCTCCTGTAGGTTAGGTCTGTGAACTCGGAGCCAGGGAGCGGACGCTGCCTCTTGTTCTGCTCTCCATCCTCCTAGTGGACACTCGTGTCATGGCGTCGTCGCTGATCAGCCGTCAGCTGGTTCTGTCCCTGCAGAAAAACCTCTGGCGCAGTGCCCCAGGTTGGTACGGTAACCGTGGCGTTGGGACCTGTAGTCAGGCCAGGACGAGGTCGGTGGAACTGTTAATGGAACTTTTATTTTGAAGTCTGCTCCTCTGGGAAGTGTTTCCTGTTTTAAAAGAAACTTTTTTTTTATAAGATTCTGAATCATATTTTTAAATTAAACCTCACCCAGACTACTACATACTACCACCTACAGTACTCCTTCAGTACTGCAGGTGGACTTGTGTCTCCTTGTGTCCTTCAGACAGTTCCTCATTTCCTTCTTCCAGGATGCAGGTACGTCAGCAAGGCTGCCCCACAGACCCAGCAGGAGTGGGAGTACGATGGACCCTCCATGAAAACTTCAGTTCCTGGTCCACGATCACAGGTCACACACACACACACACACACACGTTTTTGTTAAACGTGCAGACATTTTTTTTTAATATCTAACTTTTAATAACAAACGTTTTCTCTCTTTAACAGGAGCTCACAAAACAACTGGGGGAAATCCAGGTGTTGAGGGTGTGGGTGGGGGGGGGGGGGTTACTGTGATTATACAAACTCAGTGAACTCGTTAAATAAACCCTGGAGCATTAATGCTGCTCTACATTCAGTTGCTCTCTCTCTCTCTCTCTCTCTCTCTCACACACACACACACACACACACACACACACACTGCTCCTGCAGCAGATGTGTGACAGGAATGTTTTTTGCAGATTTAGCAGAAAAAAATTCTTCTAAGTGTGACATCATCTGAAACAATTACTACTTTCCAAACTTTACTGTTACCCCTCCTCCTCCTCTTACCCCCCCTCCTCTCACCCCTCCTCCTCTTACCCCTCCCTCCTGTGGATATTATTAAATTGTACTTCACTCATGTGTACTGTGTGTGTACCTCCTGTTTCCAGAATGTCGGGGCGGTCAACTTCTTCTGTAACTACGAGGAGAGCAGAGGGAACTACCTGGTGGACGTGGACGGGAACCGCATGTTGGACATGTACACCCAGATCTCCTCCATCCCTATTGGTCAGTGACAAAATGTCACAAAAGGATTACTAACAGAAGTCTGTCCAACGCAGTCTCCTCCATCCCTATTGGTCAGTGACAGAAGTCTGTCCAAGGCACAGATCTCGTTTCTCAGCCTGAGGGGCGTGGCCCTACCTGTGACTTGGTCAAAGGGTGGCGCTAAATCTGAAATTCTAAATACATTTAGTAAATACTGTGGTACTGAGTACTGGGTACTACAGCTCTAAAGCTAAAAAAACTGTTCTTCCAAGTCAGTGGTTGGAGCCGAGGCCTGACGACAGAAGGGCTTTTGTTGGAACTCACTCCTCATTAATTCACTTCATACAAAAGGCTCCTGCGGCTTCTAAAAACATTCACTGAGTTAACTCCGAGTTAATGCAGAACAGAACAAGTTCTACCAAAACCTGGTTCAGTTTTTACACCAATGTTTCATCCTCAGATTCAACACAGAAGAAATGGAGTGAAAATAAAAAAAGATCATGACATTTCTGATTTTAAAAGTGTCGCCTGGGATGGAACCAGGTTGTCCACCAGGGGGCGGTGCTTCTGTAGGAATGATGCCAGTGTTCTAATATTGATGTTTCACTCTCCTCAGGCTACAACCATCCTGCTCTCCTCAAACTGATGGCCAACCCCAACCATCTGGTACGTTCCTTTCATACATGATTCACGGCCGACTCTGTGACGTTGACTTCATCTTCACTTTAATGACGTTTCTGTCAGAGTACACTGGTGAACCGTCCCGCCCTGGGGATCCTGCCTCCAGAGAACTTTCCAGACAAACTCACCGAAAGTCTTCTCTCGGTGAGTCAAACACACACACATTTCTAAGATCTTGAAATTTCTTTCTAGTAATTTGTTTTGTTTTTTTAATTTTTACCGATGGCTTGGGGTAAACGTCAACGTTAAGCCTGAGTTTGAACGCCGACGTAACCTTTATCTTCTTTCTTCCTCTGCCGTCGCTGCCCTCAGGTGGCCCCCAGTGGAATGACCCGGGTTCAGAACATGGCCTGTGGCTCCTGCTCCAACGAGAACGCCTACAAGGCCATGTTCATCTGGTACAGGGTGAGTGGGTTAGTGAGGACCTGGTCCTGGATGTTAGTTCAGGGTGGAGTGAAACACTGCTGTGAAGAGAAGAATGACATTTGGTAGTTAAAGTCTCATGTAGTACTGTGAAGTATTATGAAGTACTATGAAGTATCTGCGGTCTCCTGACTGTGTGTGTTCCTGTCTGCTGTAGAACAAGGAGCGCGGCGTCAGCGGACCTTCTGATGAAGACCTCAGCTCTTGTATGATAAACCAGGTGAGAAGAACGCCGTCTTCCACTGTACTGGTGACTTATGTCACAGACGTGGAGTTGA